AAGCTGGAGTTGATGATCCCAGAAACCATCTTCTGTCAGATGTTTCTAAAATAAACTTCAGGGTACAGAGCTCAAATTAAGTCATGGAGATACCAGGAGGACACAAGATTTTGCTGTTACACAGAGACATTCCTTTTATATGAAAACTGAGGGAGATAACTGCTGAAGAATAGGTAAAGAGATATTTATTAACAGATACAGATTGTTTTCCTTTCCCATCAAATACTGAGTTGTCCAAACAAAACAAACTGTGGTCTTGTGGTTAAAAATGAAGATACAGTGTGTTTTGAACCTTGACAGGAAGAGGACAGCTACTTGCCTGTAATTCATTTGCACTGGAATTTTGCTCTCAAAAGCTTTACTGTTCTTAGGAAAAAAAAAAAACAAAACAACAACAACAAACAAACAAAACAAAACAAAACAAAACAAACAAAAATACCCCCCCCCAAAAAAAACCCAAGAACACTGAGTTATTATGAGCTTCTTTTAAGAGTCTTTTAAGAGTTCCCTGTAGAAACAGATATAATAGATATAACATCATTACCTGTTCATTACCTGTTGTTCAGTACAGTAGATTTAAATTATATTAGTCACAATGATAAAACATTTTCAAGTTTAAACACTGAGATAATAAAATTTGCACTCCAGTTCTTTGAATTGAACATGACTAAACTTTAAATGAGCTGTCTGTGCAAAACAGTGATTGGTTTTTTATTTCACGTTTACATATTGCTCATGATGTTATGATTCAGTGAACTCCCTTTATCCATGAAGTCTGTATATTGTTGAAATTACACTACTTTAACCATTCTCTGTTACTGTTGTACAATACTTTGTGAAATATTATGTTCAAATTAATTTTCTACAAAATCAATTATATTTCTTGAAGCATCACTTATATAAGAACAGTGCATGAGTCCTAAAGATTTTAGACAATATTAACTTATATTTTTATAAAATTGTTTCAACTATCCTCCTAAAGCTTTTAAAAAGCTAATGAATTTAGAAGCTTTAAAATTATTCAATTATTTAAAATTATTCAATTACATTGCCACCTGAAAGTAAATTTAATGACCTGGAAAGTTTTGGTGTTTGCTATTTAATAGTTGAGTAATATTTGAAAAATGCTTCATATTTCCATTTCTCATTTGGGTTCCTAAGAAATTTACATATTGATGGAGATCATTAGATTTTAGATACTTTTACTTCTACTTTTAGATACTTTAGGTCAGTCATACTGAAATACATAACTAAATATTGGAATAAAAAAATAATGTATACATTTTGAATTCAAGTGGAAGCAATTTATATTCATTAGAGAATCTACTATTTTTGATTTGATTTTCATTCCACTATTCACAGTAAGTCTCTACCTTTAATGAAAAACACATCCTTTTATCAGTGATGTAATGGATTTGTTAAAATTAGATTTACCAGTAATATCTCACAGCAAAGCAGATGATGCAACTTAATTTATTTTTTTCTAGATCAACTGAGAAACAGTTAACTACACTGGATTTAGGATTTCAGAATACTCTCCCTGGAAATAAATTTTTAGATGCAGAGAGAGCTGTGGAACATCCTACAACAAAATCTAGACAAGCTCTCATGAAAGTCTGGTTAAATTTCCATACAGTAGGTGTTAAATTCAGTTTAAACTACTGGAATTTTTTTAAGAAGTCACAGTTTCCAAATTGGAAACCTACTAAAATGTTGAGCATCAGCCTCAATTAATTGATATGACCAGACTATCAGTCTGGGCTCAACTGGTAACTTCATTAATTGCTCCTGCTTATCACTTGTGTTTCAATATGGAAAACACACCTTCTATCTTTATAAAATGGAAGAATTTTAAACTGAGTTCCTTCCTTCCTTCCTTCCTTCCTTCCTTCCTTCCTTCCTTCCTTCCTTCCTTCCTTCTCAAAATTAAGAGAATTGGTAGGAAGAATGCACACTACAATGTCAGCAGAGACTAACTATCATAACACAGGTCTTGGGAGCCTACATAACCAATTGATTTCCATGCTAAAATTGTGCAGATATTTCACCAAGACAGAAGAAATGTGGGGGTGCATTTTTCTTCCACCTAAGAGTATAAAATCAATGAGAGTCTAAAAAGAAAACTGGAGGAGTTGAAGATGCTGCTTAACTAGAGGTTGGACTGCTCAGCTAAGAGTACTTTCATGTACAGCCATAAACCCTGACAAGAGGAAGGCAAAAATTTTTATCTGAATCCCAAGAGCTGAAAAGTAAGCTGAGGAGAGCTGACAGCTCTAAGAATGAGAATTGTATTGTGCCCTGATTTTCCTCAGAGAATAAAGAGTTGATCTGTTTCCTAAAACTCCCAAGACTTAAACTGGAACAGTTTATTCCTGCCCTCGAATAAAAAGGCTTTATTTTTCTTTCACATTTGTTACCATAAATGATACAAGACAGAAGGTTTGATCAGAATCTGAGAACATGATCAAGAATCTGACAGTATGTGGCTACATCAAAGGAACGACACAGCGTTTCACAGACTACCACAGGGCTCCATCTGCACTTTCAGCTGTCAGGTTGGGATTCTAGAACAAAATCCCATCATTTAAACTGGCTTACACTTCTGATGCATGATCAAAATCTGAGGACAAAGCATGGGCCATTTGTTTCCTTCAGTTTTTAATACTATATCGTGCATTGCCAGGAAACACACATTGCATACACCAAATATAAACTGATGGTTTCTATTCTTGAGAAAGACCATGGGTTTATCATGTTGAAGAATTTTATATGGAATTATGGATGAGAAAGATAGCAAGTAAGCAGTTAAAGTGTTCAGAATGTAGGGATTTTTTTCTGCATTTCTCTTAAATATAAGAGTAGAATACAGCCAAAATCATAGTTAGAATCTGTCCAAGCTATCATCCCTAGTTATCTTTTGCAATTCTTTTGTTCTTCTGTTTATCCAAATGTATCCCTATTGTCTGCTGAAAATACAACTTCAAGGTTAGTTTTGCTTGGATTATGAATTATCCTGAAGGCCTTCAGATACATTTCTATTTTTCTCCTGAAAAATACTCTCAATACAAACCTTTTCTAGGCAAAATAAGAAATTAACAAATATTTCTGTATTTCTGTTGTATATTTTGGAGTACCTCAGGGTTGCCAGTTGAACACAAATATTTGTGGCTACTTCAGAAAATTAGCAAGCAGAGAAGCAGAAGTTAATTTTATGCTGATTTATAACTTCATTTTCTCTCTCTCTCTCTTTTTTTTTCTTTTTTTTAAGTATAGTCCAATTATCACCTGACATGAACAAGGAAATTTTCAAAAGGCACAGCTGGCTTCTGATGTTCACTAACTTGCAGTGTGAGTTAAAAGCCAGGCATCAATAGAATCCATCTCACTTTTCTGTTTTAATGTTGTTTTCTTCCTTTTCTCCTCCTCTTCTCTGACTTTCCTGCTGTGCATTATGAAGAACAAACAAAATGCTGAGAAAACAGAGAAAACTAAAATCCTTCCATCCCTCAGTTTCCCCTTCATAATCCTTTCCCCAGCTTCTGTGATCTATCTCAGTGTACTGTGATAGATCTAGAGATGAAAATTTCCTTTCTTGGAACATGGCTGTGGCTTATTTGAATGCCAGACAAGGCAAATGTGCCACAAATTGTTAGTTCCAAAGAAATAAAGTTATTATTTCAACTTTGACTTCAGTTTTATACGAGCCTTGTATTCTTTATATCAGTTGCTTGCCTCGGTCCTGAAAAATATGTCATGAGTTCTCTGAAATAGAGTCAGTAATTGAATTCTATGTATGACATTCATGCATATTGTACTAGTCACTATATAACTCCTAAGAAATCAGCTATTATCACAATCAGTGTGGATGCTAAACTATTAAACAGGTCCCTGTTCATAAGGTATTTTTTATTCAATTACATGTAAATTGTTACAAATTGGAATAAACATGGTTCAGTGATGCAAAAATCACAGGAATTTTCAAAGCTGTTATTTTCTTTGTCTGAATTTTACACTTCACATAATGGTACCCTCAATTTTCATAACTAAAGTGTCACACTTTGAATTATTGCTTATCCACAACTTTATTATCACATTAGATATATTACTATTCCTTCTCCTTGAATTTAGATCCCAGTGTCAACGTGAAATGGAAACGTCATTGTACTACAGCTGGTGAAATGATTACAGAAAAAGTCACATCTTCTTCAAAGTACATGGATAATATAAAGTGAAGAGGAAAAATGTGCACCAGAGAAACTTTTCTGGTCACTTGTACATCTCATTCCCTTCTCATTAATCAATGTGACAGGCACAGTATGAAAGAATGGTAATTAGATTAAGGTGCTTTATAAATAGAATATATTCTATGCATGGATTTCTAAATTAAACTCTTGTAATGTATTTCACATTGGTATAATAGGAATGTTTATATCTATCTACGTACATAGATAGACACATACATATATGTGCTATGTGTGTACATGCAATACATTAAAATAAGTTCTCTTATATTTGGCTAAAAACTGAGAGGAAAAGAATAGATCTTTATGGTAACAGTATGAAACAGCAACCAAGCCTCTTTTTTAGTACAGCCCATAAGAACTCTGGAACCAAACCTCGTCTTGCAAACCAAAGACAATCAGCTCTGTCTGGTTCCAGTGGCCTGGAACCCCCAAACCTTACTGAGTGGCAGCATCACAATAGCCAGGTTTAATCTCACATCCTTTAACTACAAACTGATTGGTATCATTCAATACTCATAGAGCTGAAAAATAATAACAATTCATGCTTATCATAAGAAAGCACATAAACAGTGCTAATGTTCAGAATGTACTGTATTCCATGTTTCATTGGATAAACACAGGGTAAACATTTTAATTTGATATATTGCAAAGCTATTTCAAACACATTTAAGAACACCAGCAACAGAAACTTGCTATCCTTCTTGTACATATTCTTACGAAGAAAGGAATTGTAATGAACATACTTTTAGTACTTACCACTGTGTTGTATTTTTGAGAAGGCTTCAGCATTCCCCCATTGGAGGCAGCATGATGTCATTTTAGTTACAGCAGAAATTTTTCCTGTTAGGAAAAAATACATAGTGCTCTTCAGTAAATGAAGAAAAGAAATGCAAATATATGAGTAAAAGATGGTAAAAAAGTGGTTGCTTAGTAAATCACCTGTAATGCTATTTTTCAGGATTACAGAAAGAGAAATCATAATATTAATAACTACACAATAAATACATTAAACACATTCTATTGATTTTTGTCATAAAAATTGTTAGCAATATTTCTTTTTCTTTGCAGATTGATCACTTCTACATAGTTGTATTTAAACCTGTATACCGCAAAAGCATATATTTTTGACAACCTGCTAAGGCAAGTAAATACTTTGAAATCCAAGAAACAGAAGAAATCATGACAAATCACTTTGGTTTTAAATATTTCTCTAAACATATATTATGCATAGCCAAATATAAAATTTCAATAGCCAAATATATAAAAATATATTCAGTTTAACTTAAATATAAATAATCACAATTTAAAAGCCATGTTACTATTTTTTATTCTTTCTTAGGTGTAATTGAAAACTGTAGTTTATGCTTCAAATGACATTTCAATGGATAGACTATTTCTGAATAATCTATCCATGTTAGATTTACTATTTAGATAGATTAAATTCCAGTATTTACCAACAGTCTGTTCTGTCAAGGGTATCTTGAGACACTGTGATTTAAAGCCCCAACCTTAATAGTGCTAAGTTATTTCAGGTAATTTTAATATTTTCAAGACTTTAATACCTTAAATACTTCTCTTCCCTCCAAAGCCAGCAGACTTTATGGGATTTATTTATCCCCTGCACATATTTTTCAGGGGAAACATGCACTCTATTTTTCTCTGTATTGCTCTTAAAGGCACTTCTTATCATTTAGTCTTCTTTTCATTAAGTTGATCAGCACACAGATTGTAAATTCTGCAATTTTAATCACAATGAATACTTCCTCCTGAATGGTTTGACTCTCTACAACCAAATCACTCCCTGTAAGTGCAATTTATTGTAACAGCTGCAAACACAGGCCTCAATTCTGTGTAAACACAGTGATTATAATTTGGAAATAAGTACCAGTGGATGGCTATGTGAACACATGTCAGAAAAGAAGAAATTCTGAAATATGAAGAAAAGCAGAATTTCTTGTGAATAAGGAATGTGTGAAACACCCCAGCTAAACTGTCAAAGTGTCCATCTGGACACTTCCTGCAGGGGAAGGCTGGCAACACTGCAGCTTTTCATACACACCCGTTGAGGAATCAGATGTTGAAGTTTAGGACAATCTTTATTCCAAGCTATGGTAATGCCTTAAATCTATCCAAATGACAGTGGCACTTATACTAGAGGTTTCATTGCTCGTGTAGACTGACAGCCAGTCCAATTCTCCAACAGTAGGATGTGATTAAACCTAGGATATAAGAAGTATGGAAGGATTTAAGGAATGGCTGTCAATAGCAGTGAAAATCCACGAAGGTTAACACAGCTTCCCTTCTCAGTTATTTAAAACCTGCATTTCTTTATTTCAGCATCCTTTATAGCTTAATTACTACTACAGGAAGAGAGGAGAAGAGAGAGGAGAAGAGAGAAGAGAGGAGAGTTTTCTGGACAAACACAGGGATTGCATTTACTATCTCTCCATGGTACCAAAATAGTCTCCATTTTTAAAGCATAAAAATGAATTAAGATGGTACTATTTCTGAACTAGGTTTTCCAAGTTTACCTCTATACCTATGTGTCTATCCTTTTCACCTTCACATTATCTTACACTGCCTTCTAGTTGTCCTTGGCAGACTGAATTTGATTGTACATGACTAAGGTTATAATTTAATTTTTATATATTTTAATAAACCATAATGTCCCTTTAAAGATCATGTTTAGACTTTATCTCTACAATAGTGAATTGCTTTCAAAAAAGCAATAGCAAAGCAAATACTGCACTTCCAGTATTTGCTTTGCTATTTTCTATCAGAAAGCATAGGCACACATTAAAAGACTAGCACTTCAATGCTATGAGAAAAAATAGGCATTGTCTACATACTTTTTTCTTTTTTAGACAGCTATTTTGTCTTCTTATCTGTGACAACTGATTTCCTCATAATTACAAAATTTTATTAGAAATATGGGAACCTGGCAGTCCCTCTAAGCATATTTTTCTGAAATTTATAATGGATTTGCTTACCATTCCGCAGACACATTTCTAACTTAAATCTGATGGTGCTATAATGGCCCTAGTTTTAATGTTACCCAGTTTAAGCTTACTTATTTGAGTAATTTCTCAGAATTACCACAACTGTCTATGATTTTATAGGTGATACAATAACAACCCAGTAATACTTACATTCTATCACTATGTACAGTTACCTTAATCTATTTGAGAAATAAAATCTCTGTCTCATAAAAAAAAATCTGCTTTGTTTTGAACATGATGACCTACTATCTCCAGCTATTCCCAAAACCCCTGACAGCTCCCAGCAAAGTCTAAATATAAGCTAGAAACATTTTTTTAAGTATTTGATGTTCAAATTTATTCAACACAATTACTGGACTATTGTAATTAACTAACTTCTGTTTGAGCAGATAGATTCATGAAGTCCCTTTACGAAAATTTACCCTTTTGAATTCAATTTTAGCATCTTTAAACCTGTAACCTTTACAGTGTTTATACTCTTTTCACTTTCAATTCAGTTTCATAAGAAGTTCTTTCTTCTGAACATTTTCACAATAAGCTGTCTTCACTGTTAAATTGAAAAAAATCATATATAGTGACATATTTCACAGCAATTAAATTTTTGAGTGTTTTTAACTATAAAAAGAAAATCATTGATTAAACAATGAGTGATAGAATATGCTGAGTTGGAAGGGACCCATCAGGATCATCAAGTCCAGCTCTTGGTCCCACGCAGGACACCCCAAGAATGACATCATGTGCTTGAGAGCATGGGTAAATGCATGCAGGCAGTTCTGTGATATTACCACAGAATCAATAGTCCAGAAGTTAAAATATCAAGTAAGCAGATGTTGCTATTTCAACTCTTTATTGCCTGGACAGTTTGGGAGGAAGGTGCTGTTCAGAAGAAGAAAGCTAGCTGGAGGTAGATCTCACAGTAGAAAACAGACCAGCTAGAGGTATATCACAGATATACAAATGAAATAATTTTTTCCTCTGACTAAAGTATATGAAAGCAAAATAGCTAAATTTGACCATAGGCTTCCTTTATATTTTAGTGGGGGAAAAATGGCATCCTGAATTGTAGAAGACTTATAATCTTCATGAGTCAAAGAGCGTGGGCTTCAAGTTAGAAAACGAACAACCCACTCTTCAACTATACCAGCTGAGCTAATGTTGATTTTGATTTATCCAAGAAATGAGTGGTGGTATCTTAATTTCTTTTCTTGAACTACATATAATTAAGTATCAAACAATGCAAAGGCAGTGAAATGCAATTTTCCTTTGCTGAATAGGCAGTAACTCTCTCTTTGCCTAAAGGGAGGAAATTCATCCAGAAAAACACTCCCATTTTGCAGACCCATTTTGCAACTTTAATCAAAAGCACCACACCAGAAGATAGGAAGCTTCCCAACCACACACACTCTCTCAATGTACATATTCTGAGTTACAGTCCTTGTCTTCAAGCAGATCAGAAAGAGATGTGAAACTTGTGTTTCTTCTTTCTACCTCTGATATATATACCTCATGGTTCTCTGCTCATCTATTTCTGTTTTAAACAATTGAGCGTCTGAACCTTTCTGTACCTCTAGTCTTGATTTCTGCCTGTCCCATGAGGATGTCCCTTGTGGTATCAATAGTCGGAGAAAGCAGGGAGAAAAGATTGACACTCCTCTGAAGCAAGAGGTGAGGGACTGTATCTTCAGCCACAAATAACTAAAATATCTTACAAAACAGGTGGGTGGCTTCAGAAAGAAACTACAAGAAAAAGAACAGTTAGGGTTGTATGAATCTTGGCAAGGTCTAAGGGCAGGAAAAAGTCCAGCAGAGACCAAAGATGAACAGAGGAAGTAGGCAGAACAGCCTAACACACACAACAAACAGAGACTGCGCTTCAGAGAAAATGGGCTGCTACCAAAGATACAACAGCAGCAGCAAAGGAGCAGTAATGACACAGAAATGGAAAGGCTGAGGCCACCTCCACAGGATGCAGAATGAGAGGAGAAATGAAGCTGTGTGTAAGGCATGATGGCAGCTCAGAACAAGTGATGTGAATTTGCAGTGATGTTGATTTTTCCCATAAAAATTTCTTAAGAAATTATCTTGCCTTCAGAATTATTTGGATATGAATTTTTGTTAATACAACTGGCAAAACAGATTAATTTCTCATGTCAGCTGCATCAGAAACATCCTGAACTACCCATGAAAAAACAAGATATCATGTGTGATATAGCAGATAATAAAGATTAAAAATGTCTCCTTCATGAGGAGAATAAATTAAGAAAAATATTTGAATAGAATATAATACACATTTCATTACAAAACAAAGGACAAAAGGATGACAATATTTGTGCAATGAGCTTCCAAACAAACCTAATAATTAATACTACAGGTCAAAACCTGAAAAGTTGCAAGAAAAAATAAACCATGCTGAGGACGAAAAAAAAAAAACAAAAACAACAAACCACCAAGACACAAACCAAGGCTAAAAACAACTAAAAAAACCCAAAACCAAAACAAACTCAAAATACGACAGGCAAGCTGGAAACAAAGATGTTAGACTCACTTTGAATTAAAACAAAACAAATCTTCTGAAGAATTTGCAAACTGCTATAAGAAGTCAGGAAGAATTAAACTCATGAAGCCTAGGCCCAAAACAGCAACACAGATCAGAGAAATGCTGAAGATGCAGAAGAGAATAATTTGCCGTGTTAAGAAATTCTGAATGGCAAATGGAACTATAAATCGCCTTAGGGGAACTCTAAGAAAGTAACAATGCCAAAAAAAAAAGCATGTAGAACAAGGCACAGAAAAACCAGAGGACATAAGAAATGTTAAGTCTAAGGTCAAAGAGAAGGGGAG